TGCTGAGCAATACTATGGTGCCGGGAACCTGTACACATTGATTCAGGAAGCCAACGGGCTATCGCCAGAAAATGTAACCTCTCTCCCGGTGGGACAACCACTTAACATCCCGAATGCAAGTAGTGCCTGTCCGGCTACTGGTAGAACCCACATTGTCCAGCAAGGCGAGACCTTGTACTCGATTGCTGAGCAATACTATGGTGCCGGGAACCTGTACACATTGATTCAGGAAGCCAACGGGCTATCACCAGAAAATGTAACCTCTCTCCGTGTGGGACAATCACTCGTCATCCGGAGTTACAGTCGTTCTGAGGCGAGATTCAACTCAAACTAACATGGTTATCCACACTGCACTGCGCATCAGTAGTAATGATGCAAACTAAGCAGGCAGGCAAAGAAAGGCAGGTTATTGCCCCTGTGCAAGTTTAAAGAAAGGATGTGTGCCCTCGACTTGAAGGTCTAGAGAGAACTAGGCCACTATTGATAAAATAACAACGTGAATAGAATTTTTTGCATGCCACCAGTCTGTCCGTGTTGGTTGTCCTGTTGATTGTCCCTGTGGGCTGTCCCTGATGGTTGTCCCTCCAGGCTTTCCTTGTTGGTGGTCCCTGTTGGTTGGTGACACTTGGATTTTATCCCAGCCAGGCCTCGCTCTTAGAGGATTTTTACACTGGCAAGTGATTGTCCTTGGTGTTCACACCAACCTTGTCCCTGTGGTTGTTTTAGTTAGTGCTGATGGTATTGCAGAGTCCAATGTGCTGTCTGGTGATAAGGATCTCACCATTATTATTAGTTCATGATCAGTAGTGGGTGGCTGGCCATTTTCCAGCAATCCAGCCACCCCCTGCCCTGCTGCCTTCTAGTAGCTAGTGGTTCTTTCACATCTAGTAGCTTGTACCTCCTCCTTCTCATCCTCCACTTCCGCCTCGCCCTCACCATCATCTTCTTCTTCCTACACCTACAACTCCTACCTCCTCTGCTATTGCCATCTTTCACGCATGTTCCCACCACAATGCTGAATGCCCCGGATCCCGCTCTAGCTATGTTGTCCCTGGTCCTGTGGGAACGACCTCACTCTTTGGCATACCCTTCTGCTCGGACATCGTTAGAAACTGAAACACGCAAGCCATGGCCCCATTTCCACTGCCTTCAAGTTCTACACACCAAACTGGCCGAGCCTGATGTAGTAGATTGCTTTCTTGGTTGGCTTGGGGACTGCAGGGCACCTCCTACTACAACGTAGAATGCTATCTTGGAGTTCTCCAGAACTCTACTCTTGTACCTGAAGGAGGAACGCTGCAACACAGCCTTCCAGAGATCCCTCGCGTTTTGTAGTCTTGCTTACCCATCGCAACAGCTAGGTCATTCTGGATCGACCTCTCTAACTCCTCATGAACCAATCGAAATGCTCCCACGTTTGCATGACTAGACTAGAGTGTCTATCTTTGGTGCAGAAGAGACTTACTTTCGCAAACTCTTTACAGGAACCATGGACCATGAAGTCGTGGAGTGAGTTGCACAACTGTAACTGGTACTGGCTAGCTAGCCAGTCAGGCAGTCTGGGATTAGTTGTGGATGATAACGATACCAGTAGCATGTCGCGGTCAACCAGTGCGTCATGTTTTGGATTAGAAACACAACAGCTCTTTCGTACCTGGCTGACAGTGAAGCAATTCAGCATTAAGGAAAGCTACCGGTATACATACGTCAGGAAGAACTTGGCGAAAGGGGCTCTGCTGAACTCCTCAACAAGCAAGGACTTGGCTCGACGGGCATTAGCTACATGTCGGAGCACCCAGACCGCCAACCAGCGTTTTCTTCAAGTTGGGGCAGTAGCAAGACCCGACATCTTTCTCTTTTCCTCCGAGGAGAACAAGCAAAAGTGTTGCTACATACAGCCCAAGGAAGCATGGTTTCGATTGAATTCCGCGGGCGGTTGGATGCCAGCTACCTGGCTAGGGGGTCTTTTCAAAACTTTGGGCCAAATCTAACCCATGCGAAGTGATGGCCCTTCGCCTCCTTCTGAATTGTTCGATCCACCTGCCTGCCTTGTTTGATTGCCAGCTACCGTGTCGCTCAAAGAGAATTTAACGAGAGAAACATCGAGCTAGCTAGTAGTAGAATGGCTGAATAAACATACATGTATGGTAGTCTAATAGAAGTTAAAATATGTATGGTCCTAAGATGATGTGCAGTATCGAAGTTGTCGAATGACGGCCGTAGTGAATGTACAATGAAAGGCTGCCAGCCAGAGAGTGATTCATGGCATCCCATCTTGGTTTTTCTGGCCTGGTTGCTGTCTAGCTCTTTTGCTTTGCTCTACTTGCTTGTTTTCATTCAGTCGCTGCAGCAAGCTCCTTGTGTCTGTCATGCCGTAGCCACCAAATCAATTTAATGGTTGTGAGTGCATGAGGACGCAAGGGCTTCTCTCAGAGAGAGGGCACCCGATGCCGCAGAGGGGGAAGCAGACGCAGCAGCAGTGCCAAACACATCATCTTGCTTGAGCCAGCAAAAGTCGCAGGGAAGCTTTGTGGAGTCTCCTGTGGGAGAAATGGGAGTAGGTTCGAATGGATTGCCTGTGACAGCTGTTTGAATCCCCAAACCATTCCAGATCGCTTCCAAGTCAATGTTGGCAGGAGGAGCGGCCATAGGTTGGATGGATTGCTGGGAGAGAGCCAGCATGACTTGGCTTTGGAGAAAACTGCTGGGCGCGACTTCAGGTTTGGGGGCAATCGGTACTAGATTGCCGGTGCTACCTCTGCTGGCAGTGGGATCTGGTAGGGCAGGCATCATATCTCCCATGATACCCAGTGCGGTATCCAGGATATCACCCAGTCCCATGCGCCCGGCTCCAGTGGGGGGTGACACCACGGGCCTGGATGAGGAGGGACTGCTGGGAGTAGTGGTGCTTTCCTCATGGACAGAAGGCTCATCGCCCTTGCGCCTCCAGCGTCTCTTTTGCTTGTATTGCTTGGAAGAACGGTAGACGTTGCTCAGGGCATCACGGAACGCTTGAGCGGTGGTGGTACGAGCCGCCGTGTCTTCCACGGCGTACCACCGCTTGGTCTTGGCGTCCTTCTTGACAAAGCCTCCCGTTTCGGGACTGCCTCTCTTGATATGCTGAAGCATTTGGAAGATGATGGCAGACTTGGCCGTCTTGTTCTCTGCCTCTTCGTATTCGTGGATCTTGGAATCAATCAGGTCTCGAAAGTTTTCATTGCCACTGTGGTTGTTCACCTTCTTGCCACGGCCTAAGATAGATAGTAATGGTTGAGAGAGAGAAAGATGAGAAAGACGCACATGGATTTTCAAAAGGGCATGTGACTGTCACGCCGTCTGAACCACACCCACATACATCCGCATACACCCTTGACTTACCAATGATGACCTCGTTGATGGAAGGAGAGAAGGACTTGGGTAGCAGGCGAGGACCTGTCTTGGCTTTGACGGACTTGAGGTTGTTATCGCTCATGGTGTTGTTCGGATGTCTTTTGCTTGTTTCAGCGGTTGTAACGAAAAAGCTCGATTGGTCTTGCAGATTGATTTTAGTTTAGTGCAGCAAGTTTGAGATTGTGAGAAAGTTGAGTTGGGGAAGGAAATCCAAGCACACAAAACTAACTGGCTTTGTACAGCCGCGCAACACTCCCTCCACTATTCACTTTACCCCTGCAACTCGTGGAGACTTTTCATCCTCCACCAAACTTCTTACGCTCATTCCTTCGGAAGATCGAACCATCCGGTCATGGATTTGGGTCATTGATTCTCGTTTCAAGGAACACATTGAGGCATAGTTTCCGATGACTTGCTTCGCATCTGGCCAGTAGAAACGAGGACTTAAAAGACTTGACACCCATAATACCTCTTTCAGCTCACTGACTCGGAAGAGTCTCGGAGTCTCGGAAGTGTACTCTGAGCTGTACTCAAAGTTGTACTTTTCAATGTTCGTGTCGTTCATTTTGGCGTTCTGCGAAGCATCAATTCCCAGAGTCTTTTAACTCATTGGCTGGACCTTCACCACTAGGCATCTTTTCTTGACACGAGGATTCTCTCGGTTGAATAGTTCCTCTCTGCTGAACTCAAAGAGTCTCAAAGAAAAACGTTTCTTGGCATAGGACAGAAAGGGGGGAGGTGCCAAGATCTAACAAGATGGATCAAGAGATGTCAGCAAAACTTGGCCAGCTACTTCTTGGAGCTCTTCTTGGCTTCTTGGTCTCGCTTCTCCCAAGACCTAGGGAAAGTCAGCATTATGCTGTTAGATACCCTTGAAGTTGTGATAAGCAGATGCCTTGAAGAACGCAGGTAAGTCGAAGAGTGTCAAAGTGTCAGCAGGTTCGACATTTCGAAAGACTCACTTGAAGTGTTACCGATTACTTGGTTCCACTACTACTTTCTAGCTTTTGGTTCACTGAAAGATCATGGAAGGAGAAATTGAAAAAACATCCTTCCAAAAGTCTAGGTCTCACAGACAAGACGAGAAGTTTTCCAGATCTCAGATTCTCACACGGTTCTGCAGGAGTCCAAGATAAAGTGGAGCAGTGGAAGGAGAGTGGTTGAGTGGTTTCCTGGACCATCAATGACATGCAGAAGGAGATGAGGTGTACCGGTATGCGATCAGGTGAAACATCCTATTTGCTTCCAATGATTGATAATTCCCTTCGGACTTTCCCTTTTCCTATACAAGATGCAAGGTGAAGTCACCTTTCTGTGCCACCCCAAATCATCATATCTTAACGCATGCCAAAGCTCAACCATTTTTTCTAAAAAGTTGATGCAGTGATTTATATCTACTCTGTTTGAAGAAGTCACATGTTGGGATTTCCGGGACCTCCAAATTTCTTGTTTGGTACTTCTAACATCTTACGAAAACTGGTACAGTGTACTTCATACCTCAGTTTATTTCTTACTCAGCTAGCAGATCTTAGTTAGAGCATTTTCTTTCTGTGCTGGCAGAGCTGTACGGTCCCTCACACCTCACAATGAATTTTCTCAATTTGGTCTTTTTTTCTACATCAGCACTAACAAAAATTGTAAAGCTATGCCTAGAGTATTTTATTCAAAGACTCGGTAACTTCGGCTCCTGTTAAAGTTGTCTTGGATCACACTTCATTGAATTAAAGAGAACGTTCAGAGGAGCTTTTTGTCTTTTGTACCATTATCGATAGTGCTGCTCGAGACAGTATGGAGATCCAATCGACGCACTTGCTGCCATGCGTAAGAGGCACGCGGTGTTGCCCACTTATCACATTGCGTTGTAATAATTCATTTAGAAGCTCATTTAGATTCGTCCATAAATCCCGAAAATTGTGTGGTTGCTTCTTATTTCTGGTGTCAAAGTGGATTATAGAAGTGAGAAGGGGGGGCAGGAACCACAATCTAGCACGTTCCTTCAATCTGTCCATGCAGCTTTCCGTTTTCCTTCAAACTGCATCGGAACGGAAACCTACCATATCCGGGCGGTTCACCATGTCAGCATCCATTGAGCCATCGAGTAAAAAGTGCTCATGACTTTTGACGACTACGAAAAGGTGGTCACAGAATCCTCAATGTCTTGGCTACAGTAACTTGCAGTTGGCACGTACCGGTATAAGCACAAGTCGAGGCCGCGTTGAGCCACTCGTTAAGCATAGCGGTACATGTAGCGGTATCTTAGGTTTGCTGCCTAGCTAGCTAGCTAGCTTCTCAGCTTCTCAGCCCACAAGGTGCCTTTACTGCATCTTTACCAAAAGGTGCTGCTCAGTTGCTCGGTACGTAGTAGCTACCGGTAGCTGGCCAGAGCTGGGAGAAGGAAGAAGGGAGTTTTTTATTAAGCTCGGTTGATCGGGGCTACCACCAGGCTGGCTGCAACCCTGCTGATGGGGCTTTTGCATTTTCGAAGCTAGAGCTTGTACAGGTACCAGTACTCCGAGAGCTACTCCGAGTACTACGGCGGAGATCTACGCTGGCAGCAAGCAAGTTGAACTTGGCAATGATTTTATGGTGACAGCTCTAGCTAGTAGTAGCTAAGCTAGTACAGTCAACGCTCGCTTATATTTATAATCTTGTATTTATTCGCTCTATAATATTTAAGAATACTCTAGTTCCCACATTTTTAACTCTAACCCTATTTTAGTACTAGAGAACGTACAATTCTACTGGAATAGTTAGGGTTAGGGATAAAATCAATATTTATTCTCGCTGTTATATTTACTGAATTCCTGAATCCCCCCCAGTATATATATCTGAATGTTGACTGTATGCTTTCGGTTGCCCTCAACTACCAGCTAGCAAGCTGAGGGCCTTTTGAACTTTTTCTTGTGTGTGTGTGGGTGTGTGTGTGTAGGTGTGTGTACGTTGAGTGTTGTGTGAGATGTGTGATGTTGTGTGAGATGTGTGTAGATACTACTAAGAGTTAATCTACGACGAATCTACCATTGGATGTTTATCCATGGGGTATACCGTTGCTTGCTGATTTCCAAATTCTGAGCTTAGGAATTTCGCTGTTTGCTTCATCAGTGGAGCAAGCTGGGGATGGCAAAAGATACAAGCCGGGTAGGCTGTGAGAAAAGCAAGGGTACCTGTTTGTGGTGATTTCGTGTGTGTGTGTGTGTGTGTGTGTGTGTGTAGGTGTGTGTGTGTGTGTGTGTGTGTGTGTGTGTGTGTGTGTGTGTGTGTCGCATACATATGGGGCAATGCTTTCCCTAGTAAGGTTAAGGCGATGCAAGATACATAAAGTGCAGTTGCCCTTTCAAGGTTAAGGCTAGCTATCAAATCAGAACCCTTGGAACCTTGGCCTTTGGAACAATTCATGTTGCTCGCCAGAGAAAAATGCTCGTTGAGGGCACTAGCCTCCGGCTGGCTGTCCTTTTGGGTTGTATTGCGGCTACACTGTACTGATTAGTTTCCAACCAGAAATCGCTGTGACTTCACAGCACATCCCAAAGCACACTCCCTTTCCTTACACTACTTATACAAAACAGTGAAACGATCACAGTTGTTTGCAATTTCGCAATGGAAAGAGAAGATCGCCACTGTTTTAGGACCATGGAAACTCCTTCCCAGCTGCTGCAGCTGGTCGATCCAATGAGAAGGCACCTCTGTTCAGACAGCACGATTGCACAACTTTCATTGGTCAGGGTTTGTTGCTGCGATTCGATTCGATTCAGCTTGCCACTGTGAAACAGACGTAGACCCCGATGGTACGAGTACCGTAAGTACCGGTACCATGGTACCAGTACCGGGTGTGGTTTGGTCTGTTCGTGGGAGTTGACTTGATTGAATCATTCGATTCGATACATAGAGGTCAGTCGTAGTGGGAATGAATGTGCACGTCTGAGCTGGCTAGAAAAAAGATTTTTAACTCTCCCTATGATCTGCTTAATCGTTACTGGTGCTTTGCTGAAGCTAACTACGGTACAGTATGTCTGGTTGCTGTTTTACGAACGAAGAGGAGGTGAGGATGTGTGGGTTCTGCGAAAAGCCGGAGTTTGTCTCGCACTCTAAAGCCTAAAAAAGGATGTATTGATCACACTGTGCGTAAAGTGAATACACGGCCGTACCGGCACCACACCGTAGACAAAAAGCACAACGTGTGTTTTGAAACTCGGATCCATCACACTCAGTTTGATCAATCGCTTCTTCGTGACGGACGACGCTTGCTTGTTCATGAACAGGACAAACGCGTGCCTAGAGCCCATCAACTTTCTGCTGCAAAGCGATGTTGGTTGTGTCGTTCTCGGGAACAGTCCTGCAAGTCGCTCCACGGCAATAACAAGCTCGTTGAATGTGGAGAAGTTGGCAGTAGAACCAAGGATGATTAGTTCATTTGTTGATGCATTGACCGCTTGGGTGGATGATGTTGGCACTGCAGTTGCCATGCGACGGTTGGAAAGGGAGGCACTGAGTCTATGACTTCATATGGGATGCGCCGTCACCAAGGTCATCTTGGTTCCTTCGGCTCCTGCTCCTGTCTCCTCGCGATTTGAGCTCGGCGAGAGAATGTCCAAGCGTGCATGCCAATGTCAACAGTGTCACCAACATCCCAAAAAGGAAGAGAGAAGAATGAGCTTTTCTTACTGGTACTATAATGAAACTAGACTGGGCTACTATTTGCAGCAATTTCCCCTCTAATTCAGAACATTTTCAGCAACGTTGCTTCTTGATGTGCCGAATTGGACGCCATTGGACCCAAGGCGAAACTCTTGATCCAGAACGTCGTTTTTCTACTACTCTCGCTGATAGTTGATACGTATCTATGTTTCCGGCAAGGCATAAAGTGGTGCTTACGATGGTTCCGCACTCGGTAACAGAACTCTGGCATCGAGGCTTGTCTCTTTCAAATACTCTCACTTTTCGCTGCATTTGATAGATTGTCTTCGCTGCCAGTTCATGTACATGTGTCCAGCTGATGTTAGGCTTCAGTTTCATTTGCTTCTTCAGCGGGTTCTCGGCTTCTCGCAATCCGAAATCAATAGAAGCCAGCAGCCACAAAAGACAATTCACCGGAGGGAAGGAGCTCACAGAACGACTTGGCCAGGGGAAGGAAGCATCCAGAAAGATAGGGGGTTTAGCCAGCAAGGGCCAGGCTTAAGCAAAGAAGAGGCAAAATTCAGGACTAGGTTCCGTGGAATCGGGGGATCCTTCTACTAGGAATCCACTCATTCGGGCCTGCTCACGCCAGTTCTTGTCAAGATTCTCCAGGAAAGCCATGCCACCACCATCGTTGCCAGAAACGACGCTGGTGACGACTCCGAGATAATTTCTACTGCTGCTGCCGTGGACAGGCCAACCAGGATGGCACCTATGACCAAAACTTGAACCAAGAGGGATTGCAGTTCGACCCATCGTGCCACATCTATGCCAAACTGAACCCACAGGGATCTTCCCTTGTCATTGTAGGCTTCTCCCTTGCAAAATATTGACTTTTGCATACAAGCCAAGCGGTATGGGGTCATCCACAAGTGACACATAGATTGCTGAGGAAGAAAAGGGAGAATCAGTCCGTGTTGCAGCTCAATGAACTCAGTGGCAGATTCCTGTAGTGAAATGTAAGTAGACGCCAAGATCCCCGTTTCATGGACAATGATCGTGCCACTGGGTGTCAAAGGTGCAAAAACACCATCACTTCGCAACACTCTTTCGACCCGCGTCACGGTCGCGGTGGAGGAGCTGTTGGATTTTGGCCGAAAAATAACCAGCTGGTCATCCACCCTCACTGCATCTGCTCGAATGGGATGAACCTTGCCTGAAATGAACAAGAGATGGCTGTCAGTCATCTCCAGAGGACTTCGACTAGCATCTGGATCGGCTTCGTCGGTACTATCCGCCACTGCATAGTGAATCTGGGTAAACTCCATCGACTCCATGTTGTGGCGATGGGCAAACCCATAGACAGGTTCATAGTGTACATCATGGTTGCTATCAACAGTAAGCACTTGGTCTCCAATCTCCAACTCGCTCATCAAAATGACGCCTCTTCCCAATGCAGAGACTGGAGTATCGCTCGAGAAACAGCCACTGGGTGGAGGAGGGGGAGGCCGCTCAACCGGTGGCAACATGGGCGGACTGGTCGGACGACGAGTCGGTGACACTGAGGGACTTCCGGATGGTGAACTACTCGGGGAGAGACTTGGCACAGTGCTGGGAACAAGAGAAGGAGCAAAAGTTTCGGCTGTTGAAGTTTGACTTGCGCTGCCCGTAGGGGCGTCGGTTGGCGTCAAACTTGGAGCTGTACTTGGAGAGGAACTAGCAGTAGGAGCACTGCTGGGAAGTCCGTCCAGAGCTTGGTTGCCTCCGTTGATGCTGCAAGTGATTTCCATGCTAGTGTAGGGCACAGCATCCCACGCATGCACAAGGATGAAGAGTGTGGTGAGTTCAGTTGCAGGGAACGTTGTGCAAGATTCTTCAGCGGAAGCAGTATAACTAGAACAAGCGTTGTCTTCATAGTAGGGCCAAACTCCAGGCTCGCTACCGAAGGATAGATAGAGATCGGGGTCGCCCGAGTCCGCTGTGAAGGAGCATGTAACTACATCTCCAGCCTCGATTTGCTCCAGTCGATATTGTTGTCTATCATTGCCGTATTGATCCGTCAATGACACTCCATCCTGCAGCGTTTTTGGACTTTGTGAAAGTCCACCAGGAACGCCGACGGCGTCCCATGCTTGATGAACGTCCATGGTATAGTCCCCTCCAAACACCTCGGCGGTGCAAAACCGCGCCAGTTCAAAGGATGAACTTTCAGTCAAGCAATCCACGTTAGCCCAGTAGAAAATTGCAGCTGCCGCTTCGAATCCAATGCCTTCAACAACAACCTGAGTCTTGCCCCCGGGATGCATGCCGCCAGTGACCAACAGATAGAAAGCCAAGTTTCCAATTCCTGAGTTGTAATGGACGCCGCCATTGTCACCATTCCCTACATATCGGGTTGGATAATAGTCAAAGTCTCCCTTGGAAGCGGGGTCAGCCATGTTTCTGAAGCCTTCCCCTGGTTCTCTCAGCCAAATATCCTCACCAATATACCACACATCGGCCCCTGTTGCTCCCTCCTGTTTGTCCACGACGGCACCAAAAATGTCACTCATGGCTTCATTGAGTGCGCCGCTTTCTCCCTGATACCTTAGTTTGGATGTTGAGCTGGTTAGCCCATGCGTGAGTTCATGTGCTACCACATCTGCATCCAATGACAGCGCACGAAGATTGACGTTATCTCCCGTCCCATAAGTCACCTTTTCAAGAAAAGAAAAGAAAAGGCAAACCGTTAGAAGAGACATCGAGCAATGCATCAAAACAGCGCCAGTGTCGCAACCAACCTGATAGCCATTCCAAAATGCATTGTTGTAGTTTTGGCCATAGTTTACCCTTGAACGAAGCGTCATGCCTTGTCCATCCAGAGAATCTCTTCCAAACGTGTTGAAAAAGTATTTGTAGGTTGCAATGGCATAGTTATGCGCTGCATTTAGCGCAGCATCTGCCGTGTTGATGTCGTAGGGTAAGGTGCTCTCTAAGGAACAAGATGATGTTTGGCCATTGCAGTCGGATGTTTCCATGCTGGGAACCCCAGTCCCATGGTACTGAGGATGTCTTGCGCAGAGAACTTTGTGCATTGGCGACGAAGCGAGAAACTTCAGTGCATCCGTATCATTTTGATAGACGTCGGGTAGTTCTTCTAGAGCTTCTTCGTCACCATCAGAGAGAGTCTCTTCCGAGTATGTAGCGTCCGCAAAGATCCAATCTAGCTGCGGGCCGTCGCCTTTTGAATTTTCCGAAACATTATATTGAATGGCCTGCCTCCACGCTAGACATGCACTGCCGTCACCATCTCGCCTAACCATTGCTCGCTCGGGCTGTCCTATCCACGTACCCTCCTCTATTCCTGCCTCTTGCAAGGCCAATTCAAGGAGCACTGCTGGAGGAGTAATGTCTGTGTTCTCTAGTGCTGCGAGAAACTCACTTTCCTCATCATCCGACAAGAACTCGCCATTAATGGAATCCAGCGTCCCATTGAAACCAACGTGAACCATCAGAGAGGCACCCTCCACCTCCATTCCAAGTATGGTCTGCTTCACACGAAGGTGGGCGCCGCCTTGTTCATCGATCTCGGCTGTAACACATTTGACGTGTTCTTTTCCATGCCCACCGAAATGGGTCTTTAGCTGTTTCTTGAGCTCCTCCTCGGTTTCCCTCATCAGCATTTCTTCGTTCCCCTCTTCCAATTTGGCGTTGATCTTCCCCAATGAGCCATTCATCCCTTTGACAACCACTGACTTGCGAGGTTTCCGTGACATACCCCCTCCCATCATGGATTTCATGTCACCACCATTGCCATTCATCGCCATCTGCAGCCGACGACTCGTCTCTCTGTCAGCACTAGATCCCCGTTTCTCCCCTCGCAGAAGGGAAGGTCGCCTTTCGTTTGCTTCGACAGATATCGGGGGCGCAGGTCCAAGGAGCAGTAGCACAAGGAATGGGAACGTGAAAATGGGAATCATCTTGGAACCTTGTTCTATCGGTCGATCTCCTAACTAGCTAGCTTCTCCCTGACTTATAAAGCTGAGTGTCTGGAGGTCCGTTTCAGGTGCTCCAGCATACAGCAGCCGAATACCTAACCAGCTAATAATAGCTAGCTCACCAAAGTTGGTCCTCGTCCCGCATGGTGGTGCTGCCAGGACCACTTCAAGGTCATAACAAGGTTGTTTCTTTATGCCTTTGGTACCGTCGTTAAATCCATATATACGGGTTTCAAATGTGACTCGTGAGCTGGCAGGACCAGGAGACTCTTGACAAATGGCATGTGTGTGTGTTGGTAAAACCAACCTGCAGTGCCATGGCCACTATAGCTAGCAAGCCCTTCATAATAGTCCAGACATGCGCACGTGCAAGATCGACCGTACCACATGGCCAGCACTGGCTTTGGATTGTTCCTTCGTTTCGGATTGTAGCTCGGTTGCTACCAGTTGTCATCTCTTCTCTCCCGATTTCAGGTGCTCATGCAAAGCATCATAATACTGAGGTGAGGGTCTTTGTGCCTAGCTGCGGGCTTGGCTTCATATCTCTTGCGTGCCGATGCTGGCTGAGCCTTTCTTGACTCACTTCTTATTCTGGGGTTGTTGTTGGTTATCATTGCGAGTGTTGGCGGCAGCGCCTTTGGCTTTTGAACTTTTCGAAGTCTCTTTGCGTTTGGCACCAGCCACGCTCAGTCACGGATTGATAGTCACGGTTTTCAAAGACTATTCGATTTGATTACAGTGTAGCCTTATAGCCTTATCTTTATTGCAGAATCGAATTGCTGTCCACGAACGGCGAGAAGATCCCTCATTGGCTGGAGATCTACATACAATAACTGGCTGGCTAGCTAGCCACACTGTGTTCAGAAGGGAATAAAAGGCGGTTCAGAGAAGGGACGTTGGCTCTGGACCAAAGGCTGAGTGAAGGAAGCACTAGCTAGTTTTGCTTGTTCACCGTGGTCTTGGCTGGCCCAGACGGAGCAACACCACAAATATTCAATGAGGGAATCGAAGGTGACGCTCTGAAACACAGCAACAAATTGTTTGCATGACTGTTGATTTGCTTCTGATTCATGGCCATCAGCACCTCGCATCATGCTACCCTAGAGCATACTAGTACATTATCTGTACTTACTCCATTCGGATAGTTTAGTTCGGAGTATCAGGCTACACGTAGCAATCCGTACCGTAGCAGCTGCATGTAGCGGTACCTTAGCTCTAGCCAGCTAGCGTTGTGGGCATCATCCCGGGCACTGCTGGCATCTTGAATCTCCACATCTCCACAGCCATCCATTCATTATACGTGTAGCTTCCGAGAGCGACGTCAAAAGAAATAAATGTTCTGTCTCAGTCCAGTTCAGCATTGGTTTGTGGTTTGTGGTTTCCCGAGGTCGGAGTTGAAGATTCACTGTGATGACCACAGAATGAAGAATCTGTCCTTCCATCCAGCTGTCTCTCTGAAAAGATACCATCTGCTTCCGGAATGCAAATGGGTGGCTTCGCAAAAGGGTGCAAAAAGCATTCCTCGAAAACGCAATCTCGAGAGTCGTGTGCCACTGGCGGGACTTCTGGACCAATCAAATCAATGGTCCCATAGTGACTGAAGGATCCATCCCCACCAAAAGATACCCTCCGCCCATCACAAATTCGCCATTTGAGGAGAGCCAAGTTCATCCACCACCAAATAAATTTTCAAAGCAGAGTCATTTTGTAAAAGCAAGGAAACCTTTGGCTCATACTATTATTCATTCAGTTAGCCATCAGTCAAGTAGTCAAAGCAAGCCAAGATGTCGTCTTCTGAATCCAAGCCTCTTGTAAGCAGCTCGGATGATGCCGAGAACTTTAAGCGCCTCAAGGCGTACCAGCCGTAAGTGATTTCTCGTAGGAGACGAATCTCTATTATTAGCGACACTGGCTTTGCTTGTCATCTAACCTACAAGTCCTTGCTTGTGCTTTTCCTTATCTTGCCATTATCTCTGGATATCAATTTATTATCTGTTGGATTTTATGGATACCCTTGGGTTTAATGGGCTACTTGGTCATTTTTTGCCACCATATACCTCTGATAATGGGACCAATGATTGTACCTCCCATGCTTTCATTTGTGGATATTTGATTGAAACAATGATTTCTTTCTCTATGCTTCACCTATATTGAATAATTCAATGGATACCCTGGGAAACTACATCTCTGACGGATTATTGAATGGGATTGATTTTTAATGCTTTTTTGACCACCAGAATGGCCTTTTTCATTACCTTTGGAGGTTACTTTATGGCCCATTTCTCGCGCAAGTGCTATTCTACCATCAAGCAACAGCTCGAAACAGATGCTGGATACTCTCCTCTTCTCTTGTCCGAAATGGACACTGTTTTCATGGCCACCTATGCTGCTGGTAACATTATCAATGGAAAACTGGGGGATACCTTTGATCCCACCATCGTCTTGGCCATTGGTTTGTTCGGATCCGGTACCTGTCTCTTTTTGATTGCTGTTGCCATTTGGTTTGATTTCCACGGATTGAGTGCCATGTTGGGAAATGTCTTTATCTTGGCCGTCTACTTTTTGTTTGGTTTCTTCCAGGCCACGGGAGGACCCGTCGGTACCGCCGTCATGGGAAACTGGTTCTGTGACGCCGCCAGTATCCGAAAACGTGGAACCATCTTTGGATTCTGGACCTGCCATCAGTACTGTGGTGATGTCACGGCCGCTCTCTGTACCGCCTGGGTTCTCTCGGCCGGATGGCCCTACTGGAGTGCCTTGGTCATTCCCGCTGCCACCAACATTTTCTGGGCCGTGCTGACCACTCGTCTCATTGCCGATCCGGCCAATGTCGACATTATTACCCCCGAAGTCCGCATCCGCAAGGAAAAGATGGAAGCCAAGCGCAAGGAAGCCATCGAGGCCGGAACTGCCGTCGAAGAGGATTCTGGTGCTACTCCCATTTCCTACGCCGGAGCCCTCGCTATTCCCATGGTGGCCCAATACGCCTTTGCCTTTGGATTTTTCAAATTGACCAACTACGTTCTCTTTTTCTGGTTGCCCTACTTTTTGGGAAAGACCTTTGACCCCGTCACTGCCAACTTGATTGCCTCTCTATACTCTGTGGGAATGATGCCCGGAGGTATCATTGTCGGATACGTCAGTGATTTCTTTGGAGGACGTCGTGCCGTCGTCATTGGAGTGTTCATGTCCCTATTGGTGGTTTTCCTGGCCGTTTTTGCCCGCTTTTCCGAAACCGGAAACCTCCAACCCGGTGCCTTGCTCTTCATGTTGGCTTGCATGGGAATCTTGGTGGGAGGGTGAGTTTTCGTCACTGGTATTACTGACGTGTTTCAATGGTCTGATCATTCTTCTGATTTTGATGCTTCATTTTTTCTTTCCTTTTTTCTTCTGTCAGACCCAACAACATTATTACTTCCGCCGTGGCTGCTGATTTGGCGTCTCACCCCAGTGTCCGTGGAAACAACAAGTCTCTGGGGACTGTTACTGGATTGATTAACGGATGTGGTTCCATCACCGCCTCTCTCGGATTGTTGGCTGTGGGTCCACTGCAGAATGCCTTTGGATGGGGTTCTGTCTGGCTCTATTTGATTGCCTGCACCGCCACTGGAACTGCTCTCATGGGAACCAAAATCTATGCCGAGCTCTTCGCCGCTCCCGTCGACGAAGCTCTCTAAAAACAAAGTGACGATGACGACTACTAAAAGAAAGAAGATAGAATGTAACCTGTTCTCGTTTGTTGTTGATGATAAGAGAAGAATTATTAATTCTGACGCTGGTGACGAAAGAAATATATGTAACAATGTTGATTTCAATCAAAGTGTCATAGTTTCTCTTGGAGAATGGCGTTCGCCTCCCACTCTGTCTGACCTTTCTCTTTGTTGTTCTGTACTGGGAAAGGAATGGGATCATCGGGATGTGGTAGGCTTGGCTTTTGCTCGTCATCTTCTTGTTTTGGCTGCTCTTGCTTGGAGTGAATGACGATTCGAGTCGTGGATAAATAGAATCCTAATTAATTTTTGGAAGCGTTTTCAAAAATTCATTAGAGCTCAAAAAAGCACTCTAATGAATTTTTGAAAACGCTTCCAAAAAATGATTAGAATTCGATTTATCCACGACTCGAATCGTCATTCGTCCGGCATTCTTTAAGTCTTCTCAGCTACTGTTACCGGTACTTATTACCGTTTCGTTGTTTCCTCTGGCAGCCACAGAACGCCCTACGCCAAATTAGGTCGTATTTCACCAACATTAATCGCGGTAAATGAATGCTACGGTACAAAACGTTTCAGCTCCTATTCGATTCGGTTCATGATTCATCATTCGCTGCCGCGATGGCTTGGCACCAAGTGCTTCCTTCAAACCTCAAACCAAGAATCCGTGCTGGCATCGTCCAAGTCTATCAAGGGACCAATAAAAGCTGATTCCATGAGCTAGATCGTCCTCATCTTCCTGACGTTTGTCAACCATTCATCAGCCCCCCCCCCCAATCGGAGTGCCGAGTAAACCCTCTCCTCCTAACCCACGGAACCTTCCTGGCAAAAGTAGAACTTCCTGGCCAATCGCGTGATCAGGGTCAAAGTCTGCCTCACTTGATGCAGAGTGGCACCGCTCATGCAGGCCCAGAAACATCGTCACAACTTTAAGAGAGAGGATCTTTCTGTCCTTGCCACCATGCACGATGCTGGACTCAGAAGAGACATCAACTATAAGAAAAGTCTTGAAGAAGAAAAAGAGAATGGCCATCACCTCCAAAATGCCTCTGGCTAGCATGATACTTGTACGATGTTAACTATGTCTAAACTACTGGTAAACTGGCTTGTTTTATTATTCCTCTTCCTGATGGATGTCCTCAACTTTGTCTTCTTTGTCGGCCTTGTGTTGACTTCTGCTGTAGGCTGACTGTACAGAGCTTGGGTCAGCTGCCCTGCCTTGGATATTCTTTGGATATTTATCTGCTTGATCTTCTTCATTTCCTCCACTCATGCTCCCCTGATGCCGCATTGCTGCACCGGTTTCGCCTTCTTCCGTCCTATAACAGTCGCTGTCCCGGGCGGTGTGATGGCCAATTCCCCCTTCCAGAGGCCTGGGAGGAGTTGTGTACATGGAACATCGACTCTCGCTTGGGACTCAAGGATCGCAAACCCCTCTAGAGAATCTGACAAATGCCAACATTGTCCTGGCAGTAGCGTAAGTAGCGTGGGCAAAAGTAAACCATGAAGCTGGCAACAACGAACATGTGAGTTCGGTTACTCAAGCAAGCTCCATGGAAGAAGCAACTCGCCAATGAGAAGTCACCCGTGAAGGGGAGAGATGGCAGCAAATGGAGACTTTTCTGCGCTATTGATTGGTGTGTCACACATATCAATACTGCTGCCAATGGTGTTTTTACTGCCCCTCTTCAAAACTGATCCATATCCTCTACTTTCTCTTCTTCTTCTTCGTCCACGTCTCCATGAACTTCAGCTATGGGCTTTCCGTACAAAGCATGGTGCAGTCTCTCTGCTTTCAATGTTGTTTGGGAATATGCATTGTCGTCATTGTCACTGCCTCCGCTAACGCTCGCTTGATGGGGTATAGCTGCAGCAGCGTTCTCCACTTCTATCTTTACACTCATGCTGTCCCGGGCAGTTGGATTGTTAATACTTGCTTTCGTGCAACGTCCAGAGGCCTGTGAGGAGTTCTGTACATGGAACATGGACTCTCGCTTGGGACTCAAGGATCGCAAACCCCTCCAGAGAATCCGACAAATGCCAACATCAGGATTGGCCTGACGGTAGCGCAAGTAGCGTGGGCGAAAGTATACCATGGCATTAAAGAAGCTGGCAATAGCAACAAAACGCTGTGAGTTTGGTTGCTGAAGCAAGCTCCATGAAAGACACCAATTTTAAAATTGATGAGCACGCACTCACCCTTGAAGGGGAAAGAAGACAGCAAAGAGTGCCGTGACTGCAAATGGAGACGTTCCCGAGACCATTTGTGAAACCCGAGCCCAGGACGGGAAGACGAATGTAAGGAAGAATGAGACAACATAAAATAGCCCTTGACTGGCAATTCGACGGCTCTGACGCAGTGTTGATGGTGGTTGACTCTGACGGCGGTTGAAAATGGACCTTCGGCGAATGGATGACGACGGAGAGTCTGTAGGTGTACTCATGGAGGCGGATGCTTCATTATTACCACCAGCCACAGAGTTTTGAACAATGCTGGCTGCATGTTGGTATTTCATCACCTTGCGTTCCTGAACCAGCACCTTGTAGTATATTAGAAACATGGATATAGCAACAGTAGCCATGGCTGCCCAGACTGGCCCATAGAAGAATCCCATCCGAAAGGCTGTATTGCTCGAGGTGATCCAACACCAAACATTGGAACTTCGATACGAGTCTGTGGCAGCAGCAATAACGGCTGTGGTGACGGAGAATCCAATGGGGAAAAAGTGTAGAAATGGCTCTACTTTCTTGAGTTGGTCCTCTTTCCACCCAAGAAACACAACCAACACATAGTATAACCCCAGAGATGCATTGTACAATGGCGTCCCAATGCCATTTTGGATGAAGAACCCTTGGGCAGCACAAGTGTCTGTGTGTGTGGAACGGAAAAGTGTTTTCTAGCGTTAGCAGTCATCCAAGCTCAGGGTGGTAGACTACCGGTACCTCGGCAACAGAATTCATCCCAACAACAAGTACTGTACTTACTGACAGTGCCACTGGCAAGGTACACCCCATCCGTTCCTGATGGAATGGGCCAAGAACCCATAAAAACAGCGGAGGATGTCATAAAGTCGTAGATTGACAGCCCGAGAAGAAGGCGATGGTAGACAGAGCCACGCCGTTGGGGGCTCGTTACAATATGCTTGATAATGTACATGGAACCCGTGATGGAGAGCACCGCAAACGGCTTGGGGGTAATGGCAAGCCACTTTTGCTTCCAAGAGAATTCAGCACTCATTCTTCTTGATTCTTGAGCCCACCTGGGAAAGTAGAAACCAGGTATTAGCTATAATATTATGATACCGGTAGATCCAAGAAAGACCGGAGAGGACCTCTGTAGTCGTCAAGAAGGGGGGGGGGGGCGATGTGATGCTCCAAACGAGGTGACTTCTACTCCAGTAACTACCAGGTAGCTAGCTAGTAAAGACACTATTAAATAGCTAGCTAGCTAGCCATTCTGTATCGCTTACAACTCTGACGGTGTAAAACAGAAGTTGCGAACGTGCAGCCGGGTCTCCAGTCGCCAGTCGCCAGGGCGCGAGAGCTCGAGGCTTTTATGATACTGGTACCGGTCGACATATGGGTATGAGCTGTATGAGTTCTGTACTATTGTAGATGGTATGAGTGAGCTGATGTGGAAGCAATAAATCCTGTTGCTGCTTGTTCTGCACCCTCGCGGAATGATGATCACTTTTTAAATCCTATTTTCTCACAATGCGGGACTGATTGTCGGTGTCCCCAAACATGTACCGGTATTTACTCGAGGTACAAACAACGACACAGTTTCGGAGGTGGGTGTGAAACTTGTGGAGCTAGGGTAGCTAGCTAGCTAGAGTGAAGATTCCGAAGCGAATCGAATCTTTCAACCAATCCAATTGAATTGCATGTACCGGTGCGGCGAAGTCGCTTGTCGAGCAGCCGCACGCCAAAGAAGACAAACGATCCCGATCCCTATCCATCCACACTGACCTGCGTGGAAACCTGAACCCTCATGGGTTCCTCGATGAATGACTCGACTCACAGTTGCCAGACTGGTACCATCTCACAAAATACGAATCTACTCCCACACTTCGCTCACACACAACAAGTACATCTCTACACTCCTCAGGTCATCACCTGCGTTCCTGAAATGGATACCCCACATACATGTCGATTGCCACTGCCCTTTCGCAAGATCCACTCTAAGGCAATAGTACCCCACGAAGACCGCTCACAGATAGCAACCTTGAATGAACACAACACGCAAGACCGGTCCAACTCTCTCCTCCAGCCATTGAACAGTCGATCGCAAGAAGGTTGTCTCCTTCTCTGCTCACAATTCTTCCTTCAGCCGAGCTGCAAGCTAGAACTAGAATAGATTAACCTCTTGCGTCGGCATCAGGGTCTAATCTCTTCGAAATCCTCGACCATGGCCAACGCTTTATTCTCTACTCTCGTCGACGCGGCAACCACTGGGACGTTCATGAGTTTGACTACAACGCTCTTCTCAACCTGTTGGTGCCAATGCTAACACTGACAGTCGGGCGTCGCAACCACACTGTGTCGGCCGTACTCGGTCACCCCTCCCTCATCGCGTTCGTACTTGACGGTGATGAAGACTACATCACGTCGGACACTCCCTGTTCACCTACCCAGCTGACTTCGAACGTGTCTCTCCGTACGACAATCTTTCCGTGTACTCACTGGAAACGACCTCCACACCATCGCCCCTGTGATCCTTCCGAACGACAGCTTCCAACGCTCGCCGACACTCGTTGCAAGACCTTGGCGTATCTTGATGGCCCGGATATGTTGGGTGCCGACCACCGAACCCTCACTCGGGTCCCCATGGGAACGCGAGGCAGATGTGGACTCCTACCGGTCCCGTCGCCTATGCCCATTCCGCACTACCTGACCTCACGAGTCCTCACGAAGTGCCTACCGGGCGATACTCCATCACCCAGTCCGAAACCTTATCCTAGGCCGGAAATCACGCATGCTGATGCAGCCCGACAGAACGCCATTATCTCGTCAATGGTTTCGCGCGTCTGCACCAGTGACGCAAACGATCCCTCCTTCGCATTACGGAGAACATTCGCCTCTACCTGCCAATGTATGGCCCTTCAGCGCTGTTCAATCTCGTCACCCGACCATTGCTCACCGCCCTGGCGCTACGGGACCTGGACTGACGAACGAACCTTCAACGCCGGAGTAGCCAACATCCAAAATACCCTCGCCAACGTCAACCGAGAACAACTGGATTTCGAACGCGCTCGGGGGACCAAGACCTTCACGTCCAAATTCGGTGTCAACCTGGCCACTCGCGTCCACAACCTCTGCAACGTCGCCGCGGATGAAGACCTTCCCGAAATCCACGGACTCCTAGCAAACTGCACTAAAGGAAGCGACTACAGCACACTGCAATGCCAACTGGACATCCGCACTGCCGGCACCCCTCTCCCCCTCGAACAGGAGAACAAACCCTTGGCCACCGGCCACATCCTTGACAAGGTCTTTCGGAAGTACGAAGCCTCCACCACAGGACAGGTTCTCGGGGAAGGTCTCTCTCCCTTCTCCGTGGTGTGCCAAGGACAAGCGGAGTCCAAGGCGGTCATGGATCTCGCTGCAAGGCCACACTTGTCGAGCGTGGTCACTCCATCACCCTGCAAGACGCTGACATTCTCTCCACCACTGATGTGAAGTTCCCTATCGACCCTCGGACGCCGAAGAAAAGCTCTACGGTTCTCCATTCTTGTGACGTCTTCCACGGGGTTGATCACGCCATCTCGATCAACGCCCGGAAGTGTTGTACGACGATTAGGACCGAATCTCTACACCGTTGCCAGAAACTACGCCGACAAGCCGAGCCTTGGTATGGACATCATCGGCCGCATTCTCTAGACATACAGCAGGACTATTTCGCCTGGTGAACCGGCTGTGGAACGACCGAACGGTAGTCCCTCCAACCTTCGAGAAGTCCTGGGACTAGTCCAATCCATCGATCCTCGACTCTAGCCTCCTTCCTTCTCACTGGTCTCCCTCATCAAACCTCTTCCCCCTCCTCCGTCCTTCGACAAGCCCGCCGGCATCACCAACAAAGGCCGGGACCACGTTTCACCAACGCCCACGGAGCACAGTGAACTTCTCAAGCGCTTCCAGTCTCAGGTCATCGCTCCATCCGGGAGATGACCCGGGGACATGACATTGACATCCCCCAGCACGGTGGTCAGGATGTTGTGCTTGGCGTGGGCCCTCAAAGGAAACTGCACCTCGTCCTGCAGCGGTGCGGCCACGCACAAGCACTACCTACCACTACGAACAACAAGCTCCACGAACTTCGACCACCTGCGGTGTGGCCAGAGCTCAGGCGTGAGTTCCCCGCCCGGGTCCTCGGTGAATGTGGGAAATAGCCTTCCATTCACCGTCGCCCCCGTCAACGGACGACAGTTCGGCTCTCCACTTCCTAGCAGCCTTGATGTCCCTCCTCCGGCCGAAACCGGCGGAGCATTCCTGTCCTCAACATAAATACATCTATTCATCCTTCAAAATCACTACAACAACAACACGCCACTCTTTCACCTACTAGCGCCCTTACTCTTCAACGCTCGCCCCCGCGAAGCGTCCCTCACCTTCAAATTCCGCTCCCGTGAAACTCCTAAAACTACTAGCACTACCGTTGACACCAGATCCGTCCGAAACGATCGTCTAGGTACGTTAGTCTCTAAACTATGTCGCGATTACTCCCAAGCCGAGTCCTGGGAGTCCTTTGTCACAAACTTCCGAGGTAGATCCTACCTCTCGCCCGAACTGGAACAAGTCGATCATCCAGCCATACCTCTGCTCACCGAATGGCGTGACCACGGGGTCCCCGTAAACAACAAAAAGAGAAGAGAACCACTCCCCTCCTTGGACCGCCGAGCAGAAGGAGGAATGCATCCGCCGTGGGTGTCACAAGTCTGCCACCGAGCACTCCGCCTTCCTCCGAGAGGAATTTTCCAAGTTCATAGAGAACAAGTTCTGGTAGTCTAGCGCGGCTAAGCGACCTTGTCAAAGATGAACCATCCCTGCTCCTATCCGCCGCCGCGGTCAAGGAAGAACGGGACCGAAAACCTCGTCTCATCAGCGATCACTCCTGGGACTGGGATGGCCCTCCGTGAACCAAACCACGGTCCATCACGCTCCTCCCGAGGCTATGCAATTCGGCGGAGCACTCCCTCGAATCCTCTATGATGTTCGTCACGCAAACCCCAAGTTTGGCCCTGTTCGCCTCTGCAAGCACGACATCAAAGACGGCTTCTACCGCATGTTCCTGAACGCCTCGGACTGCATCCGTCTCACACTCGTCCTTCCTCGATACGAAGGAGAACCCCAACTGGTAGCCATCCCGATGTCTTCCACCATGGGGTGGGTCCAATCCCCTCCTACATTCAGCGGAATGTCCGAAACTGCCTGCGACCGGGGCAACACCCGTTTCCTGCACTCACCGCGTGCCTGTCCACCGCACCGACTCGAAGAACCAGCCTCTCGCCAGGATGACCTGGACCCTTCCATGACACCACGGTCCCGCGACGCCGAAGATGATGCCGCCACTCAGGCCCTCCTCAACATCGCGACTGAACCCCTCGAGTCCACCCGCCGACGAGGACGTCGCTGCAGTCTCCAACCGAGTCTACAACAGGCCCCTCGGCCGGAATGACGTCTTCGTCGACGACTTCATTCAACTCGGACAAGGAGGGAAGAACCGGATGAACGTCCTTCGTCGCCACACATTCTCCACGCAATCGACGAGATCACTTGCGCGACCTCCAAACTGGAACGAAAAGCACGCAACGAAGACCGTTACTCCTTGAAGAAAATTACTAAAAGGCTGATCTGGACAGCCATGGGCCAAACCCATAAAACTCATCCTCGGCTGTATCATTGACACTCTACGAAGACACTCGAACTATGTACCTCCCCATCGCAAGGAGGTCTGTCGCGGCTATCTTCCAAAGCTAGCCGCCTCAGAAAGCAGCCTCTAAACAACAAACGCTGGATGCAAACACTCGGCAAAATCCGCTTTCGGACTCAGGTCCTATACGAATAGGTTCCAGCATGGATCTGTAACAGCGTGCACCCAATCGCCTCACAGCAGGCACACGGAAACCGATCGAACCGGTCCGTCTCACATGACGCTTCGCACGTCCATCGTCAACCTTGGCGCCGCAACCTGCCAGCCGAACCCAACTACATCGCTGACGATGTGCCTCAAGACGTTCTACTCGGCTCACTGACCCGAACGGCCGTATGCTGGAGTTTATCGACTCCATCTAAGGATACCTGACTGGTACGGCACTCCCGGACGACATACCAACTGCGATCTGGTCATCGATACCGCAAACCCTCTCTGGCATTACCAACGCGACTCGAACATCGCGGCATATCTGAGTCAACAAGCTCTCCTCG